AAATTGAATCGAAATACATAGTTACCTTGCAGCTATAATTTATTTGTAAATTGTAATGGACGTGATTCACAGGTAAATTCCATCAGACCGGTCTGAGTGAGGTGAGGTTAGGTTAAATTACCTAACATCTATCTCCCCTCACTCACAATGCGTCACGAGGTGTGAAATATCGTCAAAATTCTCCTCATGCGACTCCCTGAAGAAGACCAAAAAGTCCGAAACATTGGAGAAAAATCCTTCGCCAGCCCAATAATTCGACTACAAACAAACCTAGTGAGTTTCCTCCTCCTCTCTTTGCTATCATTAGTTACTCACTATTACACATTTTACAAACTATAGAGAATTGTCTGTCTATACAGACAGTGAAAACTGTGCACCATGTTTCAAATGTTTCATAAATTTTGGTTATCCCAAATTTTGCCCAATTAACGTATCTAATCGCATGTTTTGCTCGTTAACTTTATGCTTGGTCGAATAATTAAAAGTATGAAACTACATGACTTACCCAAGTTTATTGTGAAACAGGATATTACCGTTTATCAAGGACTCATATCAATTAAACTTGTAATAGAATGTGGTTTTATTGTGCGGAAGGTTTTACCGTGGTTAGGACAGAGTTAAGGAAGGCTGGGAAAGGACGAGCCTATGTATATATGTAGAACATTCTTCTATACTACAGAATGTATCATGGAACCTCTGCTAAACTAAACTTGCACAGAATAATAACCATTTTCTTAAGTACATATGTAATCATAAGGCAATAGTCTTCCGTGTAATGTATTCTGCTTACCTATCATATTCCTCTAAAAAGTTCATACTAGTGTCTAGGAAAAACGACGGACTGTCACGATATAGCTAAAAGGTAATGAAAGATTTTGTAATTTCTGAAATTATTTCCATATCTGTGTCATCAAAATTTTTTTATGCTGAGAGCCCCTGCCAGCTCAAAAAAATAATAAATTCTAGATATATGTATCATGTAATTTCTGCACTTTTGGAAACCATAGGGCCGATCTATTTTCACCAAATTTATCGAATAGGCCAACTATTTCAGCAAATAGTAACCCGACTGAGAAACTAATTACCGAACCAGCGCCATCAAAATGTATAAGAACCGAATATCCCCGACATATCCTCACAATTCCATCTTACCGCGACACCCGTCACGGACTAAATGAATCCAACCTAAACTAAAAGGAAACCTGACATTTCATAAAAAAATTGGACTGATAATGATAGTTGGCCTGGGTTTGTAACTAGTTGTATAGTAAATCGTCTGCAATAAGAAAATTTGATACATGCCATCTGCCGCAATTTTAATATCCTAGCCTCGGTCATTTGCCATCTTTGTATTACTACATATTGTTAAAAAGAAGCCTTATTTCTATGTACTCAGGATTGACTACACAATCGGCCACAAATACATGTATGTAGGTGTTTAATATTTTATCGAGTTGACTCTGGTAGAATAAAACTACCTATTAAATTCAGTCATTAAGCTAATTAAAATTTCACCCAAGAAACGTTCACTACAAATGTGGACAAACTTGACTGTTGAAAATAGACACATGCCAACTAAATATTTTATTCAACTATTTAAGCAAATCAAAAATCAAGGTCCGTCCACAAATAGTGTTCATAGCAATCATGTCCAAATTTGTCAGTATACCAAAAATGTCGCAGGGTCGCATTCAGAGCATTAGAGGGGCCATGGCAAGAACAGAACCCTCCATAGCAGGAGGGTTCTGTTTGAAATCCAAACTTTGGATGCTACTACTGTCCTAATTATGAATTTTGTCAATAAATATTGATTTTGAGAAAAAAGTTGCTACGTATGCTAACATAGAAGGTAGCAACTTGAGGCTTAAATATTCAAATCCTCCCTAACAGAAATATCAGGTGTTGTATCTTAAAGTAGTACATATCTTTGACCGTAAACATTGTTTAAAATTTCGTAAATTTAGTTCGCTGAATTAGCCTAATTGTCATTGACTACCGGTATATTTGCCAATCACTGTCTCTCACTATATCACTATATTTCAGTTATACTGGTATCAATCCTACCAAAGGAAAGGGAAACCTGGCATTTCAGAAAACAAATTGGACTGATTGTGATAGTTAGCCTGGGAATGTAACTAGTCGTATATCGCATTCAATACGAAAATTTGATAGAAGCCATTTGCGTAAATTTTAATAGAATCCTCACCTCAGATATTTCCAATCTTTGCTTTATTACAGTGCTAAAAAGAAGCCCTATTTCTACTCGGGAGTGAATATGTAGGTGAAAAATACAAATATTGTGGGATAGAGTGGTAAATATAAATTTTGTCTCTACAGGCTTCACAGTAGCTTTGTTGTGAAAAATCATCCCGATCTGGACTTGACCAGATTTTGCTTTCGTGTAATTTTGTAAATATTAATGATGTCGCATCTTTTCAATATTCTTCTTCTCTTGACGGCACTGTTAGCTTTCGCAAGGTGTTCCGAAATTTTTAATATTTGGCACAATGTCTTTTTCGAGACGGATCTAACATTCCTATTCACTCCTCCATGTTCAAACGTATCTGAAGAGAAGGCTGATTTCTCTTATTTTGACACTATTAGAGTCACTAACTATTTCACACCTCTGCGAAATTTCGTATTTTGCTATGAAGGGACTCCATACTACTTCCCAAGAGCACCAAATTTAAGGACGGCGAAACCTGTTCTACCTCCAGCAATGGAAAAATCAACAAGACCTAGGACAATTTTTATTCCGTTAGACGGAACTGTGGGTTATCATAAGGTGGGCGGAATTACAATGTGTGAACGATTAATATACTACGCTGTCTACCTATTCCGACAAGAATATATCTTTGGACGTACCGATCTTCGACGAGATGCAGCATGTTTTAAGATTGCCGCTAATTTAATCGGTACCGCGAAGCTGGTCCTGTTCGAGGAGGGTGTCAAGTTATCCCACTGGATCCCATGCTTAACATGCTACACGGTAACCTTTATCGATATGGATAAAATCTCACTGTCAAGAATCCGCCAATCTTGGGACGAGCAGAATAGGGACATGCACAAATTTGTAGTACACAACACACTTGTGGACGTCGATCTTACTAAAATAAACGTAACCTGTGGTCCACCCTCTAATGGATTAATTAATGTAGAAGTTGTCGACTTCTGTATTCTGACTACCATTGTGGAAAAGTATAACTTGACTTTGTTGAATTCATATAGAAATTACGATGAACTCAGATCATTTGGACATCGAAATTTCGAGTACGCTCTGCATCCAAAGGGGGCCATGACTCCACTTTTCGATTACGTTCATGATGTAAGGTTCGACAACATAAAATTTGCAACTGTAACAAACCCACCATCTTCTTCGAGTAGCGTGACAACTTTTGAATCACCGTTCGACGGGGAAACATGGACATGTTTATTGGTAGCTGTAATATCAGTTGCTGTACTTCTGACATGGTTGGAATGGCAAACATCGACGAAAAAAGGCTGGACGTCCTTCATTGCTATGACAGTGGATAAAATGATTACCGTAACATGCATTTTTCTCGGCCAGATGGGCGATAGTGGCGGAAAGTCTTATCGCATCATAAAAGTCTCTTTACTACTGGTAGTCTTGTGGATTTTTGGAAATTTCGTCCTCACCTTGAATTTATACCAGGGTTCGATATATTCTTATCTGGCAGTTCTTCTTCCCCCAGAAACTCCGCGCAGGATTGAAGATCTTGCCAACTGGGATATCACTGTTATCGCCTACGATTCAGTCTACAACTCTAGAAAAGGGAAGTATCTATCGTATCTGCTGGACTACATTATTCCGGAATTACTATTGGGTGAAAGTCATACCCTACAATTTCACAAATTATTAACAACATTCCAAGAAAAAGTTTTACCACACAGGTCTGTTAAATGCAAATTAAAAAAAATTATTAGCGAAAATTCAACCCGGACTTACCCTATGATAGCATTATTCATGCTGGAAAACCGGATATCCTATTTTGTGAAAATGATTAAATTTTTGGGAAACCGGCACGTTGTTCTTAATAGGGCTGAAACACCATTTCGGAACGTGGACTTGCTAGTCGGGGTTAAAAATTTACTCTGCCCTTACGTCGCGAAGGAATTGGGCCGGATATACGAAACCGGCCTGCAGATCTATTGGAGTAAAGTGGTCGACAGCAGTGTGTTTTTGACGAGAACTAGGAATCATTTCGGAAAAAAGAAATACTTTGAGGCGGTGCAAATTGCGCTGGGAGATTTAAAAGAGCCGGTTAGATTCCATGAGTCGACGGCGGTATCGGTAGAATTGATAAAACCCATATTTGCCATCTGTGGTGTGTTGATTGGGGTCGGCGTGGTTGTATTTTTGGCGGAAAATAAAATAGCTGCGGTGTATGTAGGGAAATGCCTTGTTCATAAAGTTGTGCACGGATTCCATCGTGTTAGTGAATCTGTCAACGGATGCATTCGTAATTTTTTAGGAAATTGTTCGTGGTAAGCAAAATGTTAAAGATTTTCCGGATTTATGTAAACAAAAAACGTAATCCCATCCAGTATTTTATTAAATCCAGTATTTTAATAAACAATCCAGTATTTGATTTAAAATTCTAACCGGTTAGAAATTAAATTAAGCGCTGAAGAGAGGGGTTCAGATTAAACAATTACTCTATACATAAATATAACGTGCAAAACCGTTAACATTAAAGTGGTTGTAAATAAGTGAGGCGGTTTGGAACTCATGTTATGTGGAAGATGTGACAAGAATATTAAATGATAATTTAACAAATGAGATGTATATATGTTACGTACATAATATATGTATAACTTTACCCAAGAAGCTGAATATTGAATTAATTCTTTTAAATACAAATTTTATTTTAATCACATTAAAAATTAAATTGAAATATAATTTTGAAGCTGTTTGCCGAGGAATTGTACTTTGTAGGGTAATCTGTTTCCAGCTAGGTTCGTTAGCACGTGAAGGAATTTTAGGTTAAAAAAAATTTAAATAATATGAATGTTTCAAAATCCAGAAATCGCCGAAAACATTAATAGCAATTCACAGAAAGTTCGATTACTAACGTTAGACTTTTATCAATATTGCCAACAAAAGTCAGGTTTTAATGTAAAACTCGTTGGCCATATATCCGTTCACTTCGACCCTTTTTATAAATAACTTGAGCCTCAAAATTTGAGGTCGACATGAACCCGATAAATGATGGCCAGAATATGTGAAAGGGTCCAAATTTGTGGCTGTCGTGGTATACAAAAATGATAAAGGCCATTTATAAATACACACAATTCTCTGCACCATTCCTGTAAATAGTTTAGTTTTAAAACCAGTTTCATTTGAAACCTCGCGTGTGATAGGAATCCTATCATAGGATACCTAAATTGAAGATAAATCCGATAAAATATCTCCACAGTTTTGACAGAACTCTCCCTAACGTTGAAATATTCAATGTAAATTTTACCGTTTGCGCTTCAACAAATTTTAAAACTGCAGTGGCCCACTTGCAATTTGTAGAGGAAATAACTAAATAATGCCAATGGAATCTAGACGAGAAAAGCGGTGGGATTGTACGCACTGCCCGAAGTCGTTCACTGATAAACGCTATTTTCGACAACATGTCGTAACTCATGACCCTGATGCTCAACGGAAGTGTGAGGTAGATGGTCGTAAATTTTATTTGTTATCACCAATGGTGAAATTAAACTTAACTTTTTCAGATTTGCGGGAAACACCGACGCTGCCTCCTCCGGCATGTGCGACTCATGCATGGCAATAAACCAAAAGTGCCTTGTACAATTTGTGAACGGGAATTTCGTAGCGGATCTAATCTACAAATTCATATGAGCACTGTTCACAACACGACGGAGAGGGAACGATTTCCGTGCTGGTTTCCAGCCTGTGGGAGAACATTCTCGAAGAAATGTAACGCTATGTACCATTATAGAATTAAAATCCCACCCGCTTTCCGTGTACCCTATGCGAGAAGGAATTCAAAACTAGGCCTAAACTGCTTCGTCACATTGACACCCACACGACGGAAAAGCCTCACAATTGCTCCACATGCGGGAAAAGTTTCGCGTTGATGGAATCTTTGAAAAAACACCAGGTAACGTTCAACAATTAGAATTATAACATCAGTATCTTATTTAAATCAATAACTTAATGATACTGTTTCCTTTAAATATATAGTTCACCCATCAGGGCCGATCTAAGAGACAAGCCTACATATGTTCCACCTGTCCTGAAACGTTTTTAACAAAACATGGTCTAAATCATCACAGCAACTCCAGCCATGAAAACCAGAACAAGATGAATTGTTCCTGCAAATTTTGCCACAGAAAATTTAAGACGCCAGAAGGTATGAAGCATCACATGGTGGTGGCACATCCAGCTAGTAATGCTCCCCTTCATTCCTGTGACAATTGCGAGTACAATTCATACTCCAAACCTTATTTAATCCAACACATGAGACGCCATGGTGAGACAAGATGCGATTGCTATTTTTGTGACAAAGGATTCCACACTTTTCAAGAATTAGTTAGGCATTGTGGAAGAATTCATAATCTTGAGAGGTAGAAATTTATAAGTTTATAATTACATATGTATATAAAAGAAGGTAAAGTATTTACTGAATTCTCTGAAAAATTTTACACAACGCTAAAAATTCTAAACTTATGTACATATTATGGAATATATCGTAGTAGCACAGAACTGTAATTTTGTAAACTTACAGATTAATTAATATACTTATTCCTAAAATTTAGATACATATATTCTACAATAATTTTTAATCACTTAAATAAATAATGCCAAGAAATATTACAGACAGAAATATATTATTTATAATTTATCCTTTGGGTCAAAAACTTGTAAATATGTAATTTGGTGCGGAATTTGTTAAATTATTAAATTGATGCATAAATACGAAAGATTTTGGGAATAAACTCTGAATTAATTTCATACAGGGTATTCACTACCTGTAGAAAATCTATGATAAATACGGCACAGAATACAGTATACATTTTCTTTTTCCTCACATTTACCCTCATATTCACAAAACTGTGAAAATTTCGACGTATTAACCTCCTGCTCCAGGAAGCTTGTGCAACGTTTTAACCCGCCACGTTTATAAATAAATTTAGGTTGAAGACAAAAAGAAAGAATTTAACCGTGGCATTCCTCCCTGGGGGATAGAAGAACTCCCACAGAAGTTCCAAATACCGTCATTGTAAAACGTGGCACAATTCTTGCCCTGTTGCTACCTTAAAAATTCTACCATTAAGTATCCTCGTTTTAGAGAAAAGGTTTCCAGTTCTACTGGCCATCTGGAAGAGTATGTACACATTCGTAAGTAAGTAAATACATCCATCCCTGCGTGAAATTCACTATAGTATGGGCATTTAAGTTATAGACAATTTTAATTCCCATAACATAAAGTTGTCGCCGTTCTGCACAGAAATAGAATGTTTTATGTATAAGTTCATTGACGAGTAGACTTCTATAAATATTTGCAACATGAGGCATTTTTCTATGGAGAAGATTTGGTAGTACGACATATCTGTGCACAATATTGGAAACTTGGACCGATTTATAAATAACTTGATGTCCCACAAAGGCTCTAACCCATTATTTAAACTGAGGTATACTCTGGGTCAGTTTTGTTAAAAGGGTCGGCCTAAGTGGTAAAAAGACAAATACATTAGACATTTGGGTAAGCTTCGCCGCTAAATAATTTTTTTAGCGGGTAATCATTTCCATGAACTAACAGTGTCATTTGCACTTAAGGCGGAAAGGTACGACAGTTTCATTCCTGATTTAAAAATAAAGTCTGAGCTAGAACCAACTTTCTAGCATATTTCAAGTAGTACTTTCATTACTTGAAAGACGGTCTACACTTATAGTAGGAAAAGGTTCTTATTGTAATTTACTCAACTATACCATTATAATGTTAATCGTGTTTTACCAGATACAATTAAGCCCATAAAATTAATCAAGTTTGAAAACAAACTGGAGAAGTCTCAACGACCACTGTTTTCTTGCCGTCTGTGTCCCCAAACCTTTTTAAACAAACAAAGCTCACTCCGTCACGTCCAGGTTGGCCATAAAAATCAAAAAAATTTCACCTGTACGTTTTGCAAGAAGAAGTTCACCACAAGGGCAAATTTGGATTTGCACGTAGAAGCCTTACATCCATCTAGAGATGCTCCCCTACACCCCTGCGACAAATGCGAGTACAAAAGTTGCTCCCGGAATAATTTACGTACTCATACGTTGCGACATAATATTAAGAGTCGTGAATGTTATTTCTGTAAGAAAATGTTTGGTAGGTTTACCGAATTAGTGAGACATTGCGGAGTGATGCATACTCTAGAGGGATAAAATTGTATTACTTTTTTATTTAATAAGTGGAGGTTGGCATAAGAATTTAAAACAAATTTTTCAATAAGTAAATCCTGAAGTAAGTTAAATGAAATTTTCAAATAAATTATAAATGTACTGATTGTAGATATGTATTTATCTTTACTGATTGTCAAAACCCCATATGGTTTACTTCACAAATTTTGCAAAGGAAAATTTCATTTGCAAAATAGATTTCCTTAGGAAATCTGTTTTCTCCAATTGATTAATTGATTGATCTGATGTAGGCATTCCAACCATAGCCATCCATATCTTTGTTTAAGAAACATATGAATGCCCCTTCCAAGAAAATTTGGATTCGAAGGGCTCGATTTGTGCGAGGCACCAATTATTGGACAAGTTTATATGAAAATATATTGTACTGTACACCTTCTCTCTCATTTGGAACATTTATAAATAAGTTTGAGCCCCAAGACTTGAGGGCAACCGTAAACCAGATCTATGTTTTCCAACCCTACGGTCTAAATTCGTGGAATAGTACAAGCGATAGTCGGCGACTGCTAGTTGCTTTCTAAATATCACAGTTCCTTCCCTCCTTTTTACTTACACGGTTTTGATTTCTGACAAGTGTATGAATTTCTTAAATAATGTGGCATATGGAATTAATGCATTACGGTTCGTTAGAATTTTCTTATGATGAAAATATAGTAATTGTGGATAAAAAAGTGGCAGAAATAAACACAAAAATACAAGCACATTAATCATGCTGTATGTATCACCTTCATTAATTTAATACAAAGAGGATGTAATATTCTATTAGAAAATTCTACGAAACAATTATTCACCTTCAATTTCATGTGGTCCATGTTGTTATAATTTTACCTAAGTAGCCAATCAATTGTATTGCGAGATCGCTATACCCTTAATTAACCACATGTCCAAAATAACTATGCAGATCCACTGACCTTATTGCCTTCAGGCTTTACCCCACCATATCAAAAAGTCGCCATGAATCTCCAATATTTAAGGGAAACACATACTAATGAACTATTCTCTCCTAAGTTACCTATTCTATCAAAAACAATAATGCATATCTCCTATAATCCCTATCATAAACCATGCATGATCATAATGCCTGGATGCCAATTTCCCCAAATTAAATGCTACCAAACTCCAATTCATTTTGTCTTGCTACATCTGAGGGAAGTAATATTCCATACATTCATACAGAATATAACCACATAATGAGAATTCCTCATTAATAGTAGAAATCCGAAAATAAATCGGTTATAAAACAAATGGGATTAATAGCTTACCATAGGCACGTAGGCAGCTGCCCACGTGACAACTACGATCGAGTAATGGTGGCACCAAGCATTTAAAAATGTATTTCCTAGAAATGGGCCATACTAATAACACAAAAATTTGATCGATTCGCAGTAATCGTGAAATTAATTGATCCGTTTCTGCGAAGCTATTAGAATAGCATGACCACCATACTACATAAAGGCAACATCATTGCATATAAACTCACGGAAATTCTACAAATCGTTTTAGATTCGCTTTATAGACCCGAACGAATAAAAAATCTGTCATTACAAGGATTTGTTAAAAAAAGAAAAGACTTAACTTTTTATTCTGTATCACAAATTTAATTTGAATTCAGTTCATCAGTCTGCGAAAATTTCCAATGTTGTCTCGCTGCTGGTTAGTCCTTGTTTTGGCAGCATCCGCACGATGTTCAGAGTTCACAGGGAGTTGGAATATATGGGGCGATGTGTTTCTCGATGCCGATATTAATTTTGTCTTTTCGCCTGATTGTGGTTGCGAATCCCTATACCCCGCTGCGGCAATTTGCCCTCTGTAGCGCGCACGGTCATATTTACTACCCATTAGACAATACATTTTTTGACAAGTTTATGTATCGTACCACAGAAAAATCGGCAAGACCTTTTTCCGTTTTCATACCGCTAGATAATGAAAACTGGAAGAAAGACGATTTTTTGGAGTTTAAACAATTTTTATTCTTCGCTAGCATCAAATTTCGGCAGGACTACATCTTTGGACACATTGGCCAACACCGTAATTTAGAATGGCTGAAGCTAGCCGCTTATTTTATTGGTACTGCAAAGTTGGTCTTGTTCGAAGGAGATCTCAATTCACCCCTCAAGGTTCCTTGTCTGACTTGTGATCCTATAAGCTTCTGGCCACTGCAGGTCGTATCTCTACCCGGAATTCAGAAAGTCTGGGATGCACAAAATAGAAATATGCATAAATTCGGTTTACTCTACCTTCCGAAAGAAGATGACAAGAGAAATGGTACGTGTGATTTAAGATATGGCGGGTTTGGCAATTTATACACCACACAATTTTGCGTAGCAATTGTAATTAATAAAATGATTATACATCGATTTAAATCAAAAACGGATGTATTTGTAAATTATGGTAAAGAAATGGAATTGGACTCCTACTTGCCAAAGTGCTTTCGAGTCTCTCAAAGAGAAACTTATAAATGCACCAATATTAGTTCAGTATGAACCAAGCTTACCACTTGAATTATACACAGACAGCTCACTATACGCTTTAGGTAGCGTTTTGATGCAGCGTCACGATGGGAAAGCGAAACCAATATTTTTTGCAAGTAGAGTGCTCAGCCCAGCAGAACGAGCATGTAGTATAACTGAGAGAGAATGTTTAGCAGTAGTATGGGCGTTACAAAAGTTTAGGGAGTACACTTTTCAGAATAAAGTGATTGTTAAGACCGACCATTCAGCTTTAACCAGTTTGCTAAAGATGCAAATGCCTAGAAATGCCAGACTATGCAGGTGGCTGACTGTCCTAATGGATTGTAACTTAGAAATTCAACATATTAAAGGTACAGCAAACGGCCCAGCCGATTGTATGTCTCGACTAGTTAATGTACCACCTGAAGCTAAGAAAGAAGGTTCAGTCCCAGCATCAGCATTACGACCACAGTCTGAGGAAGATGAGACTTATAATCTCGTCTCATCATCTTTTCGTTCTCAAATAGTTGCAGCTTTACAAGAAGATGCAAATTTTAGAGAAATTTATGAAAGCGTTAAGATAAATGGTCCTTCAGACCATTACCAGCTTATCAATGGGATTTTGTATTATAAAAATTATAACAACAGACTTAGATTAGTAATCCCACAGACCCTTGTAGCAGACCTAATTAAAGCTTATCATGACTCGCCCTATGCAATACATTCCGGCGCTACGAGAACGTATAAGAAATTAGCAAGAAAATATTATTGGTCATTCATGAAAAAGGATGTCCAAAAGTATGTAAATTCATGTCTAGCTTGCGCCACAAGAAAACCGTCCAATCAACCAAAGGTAGGCTCTATGATTCCACACGAAATAACAGAACCTTT